TAGGGTGAACAACGGTCTCTGCGTAGCCTCCTCAGGGCTGTCCTGCTCTCCAGTTGTTCAGGTCGTCGACCCTGCATTAAGGACACGCAACTCCAGAGCTTATTGGCTCCTAGGTTCAAGCACGCAATCCAATGCTTTTATGACTCCGCGAGACCGGAAGTCACGTTACTGATCACATGACGGCGCCATTAGGTCTTGCTGCTGGCCTTCGACCAATGGCTGAGCGCCAGCAGATAGACTACTAGTCACATTGTAAGATACGGATGCCTTAATATGAAGAAAAGCGGCACAACAGAAGAGGCTATATTGAAAAATCACAAGGCAGAATCAAACATTAGGCGCCATCCACCAGAGACCACCAAGCTGGCTGCGCTGCACACGATTTACATTTTCTCATAAGTGTCTGTTCCTGGTTGGCTGCCTATCTTCCTCCCATACCATTGGAACGCAGACAGACGGAGGATTGGTTGAAACCAGTGTTTTTCAAGATGTCTGCGTCTATGGACGTCGCTTCTGTAAGTTTCGGCCTCATGTTTAGAATTAGGCTGAGACATTCCTGGGCTTTCTAAAACAAGCGTCAAAGCCCTCTGAACACGGCCACATTATTCACCATAGATCAATAGCCGGTCCCGGATATTTGTAAATACCTAACCAAGAGTTAGCACAATACACTATAACCGCAACAATACAGTCGGTTTTGGGGTGATTAAATAGTCACCTATTTTTTCTGTGAAGTCATTGCGTTAATAAAACGTACGGTGTCCATTAAAATTTTTTAAAGACCATTTTAATACTATTTAATAATATACCACTGAACTGGCATTAAATTTAAGTTGTTGCTGTCTCGTCATTATTATAAGCCCCTCTATTTTTTAAATGTAGTCACCAAATATCACTATTATTCTGTTACAATTCCCTTCGACTTCTTGTCCAATTATTATGGCTAGTGTGCGTTTTTTTTTCTTTTGGTTTTGTGCCCACCTGCTCTCAAATTCACAAGGAGTGTTCCGATATTCCACAAACAAATTTGTTGTGAAACAATATTGACTCAAAGGTTGTAATTTGCTGTTTACATTTAGCCTAAGTCGTAAATCCTTGTCAACTAATGGAATGTCAATGGTTTTTCGCTGAGGGAGTTACAGCAATTGTTTTGTACCTCACCGCTGACAACCGACTTCCACGTTGTCAATATCGCGGTCAACGCCATATTTGGATGCCCCCTTAGTAGTTACATCGACACTGTTACCGCTAGTTCTCAAACTGATTTTGAGAACGTGATTTTCCTTTCAACTTTTTTGCGCCGAATTTTAAGAAAATCAGGAAGTGATGCTATCATCGAGGCTTGTCGAATGTCCACCTCTTTCATCCGTCCGCACTACCATCTGGGACATTTTGGCAACATGCAACGCCCCCGTATTCCCTCATCCTTACGTCGCCAAGTATTCTAATCGGTGTTATTTTTCACCCAATAGCAAGTTGGTTATCCTATGCTAGACGTCTCCGAGCAACACAGTTAAGGTCAGTCATATTCCGACTTCTCACCCAACTTAATGGGACGGATCATAATCAAATAATTCCTACCGCACTTCGTCAAATGACGTGCTAAAATGTTTCCTCAGTTAACTGGGGGTTACTCTAACAGCTCAATGTGACACAGTTGGTTGGACTAGAGCCTTTCCTCTTATCCTACTCGGATTCCAAGAGGGGACTTGGGTTGTTCTCCGGCAGAAATATTTTTCGGGCCGACATTCAGAATATCTATAAATTTCTTTCCTGAGACATTTCGGGTGTCACGATTGGAGGAGCAGTTGTGTCAAAAGCCTGTGGGAAAGAATGAATAAGCTAAAGCTTAGTCAAACCCGTTAACTGAACACAGCTTTCAACACTCCTAAGGTGCTGGCCTTATTCACCAACGTATTCATTAGACACGTTGTCACACGTCAAGCATTTCAGCCCAGTTACGATGGACTTTTCAGAGCACTTAGGCAAGAAGATGCTGTTCGTTCAATCTTCTCAAACCATCTTTCCTCGACATTGAGACACTCCCAACCAACAGGCCCCAGCCCGAGTCAACTGTTAATCCTCCTGAATGTAGGCAGTTACCCAATACCGTATACTCTGAAAGATGCGTCCAGTGGTTCGATCGTTTCATTGGAGAAAAATTCGGCCGTTTCAGTCGTTCCTCGATAACTCTCGTCCCTATTCGATAAGTGGTAGATAACCATTGTTTTAGAAACTCGTGACAGCTAACGACAGGTGATCCTTTCGTTAAGGTGGAGAGCAGGAAGTATCGAGCGACGATTATCAACTCATTAAATTCTTCACGACTTCAAATTTTCTTTTGTCACGCGGTTTTCAGTCTCTCTCACCGACCCCCATTATTATTTCCTGCAGTGACTCCTCCTTTCTGCCCTCACATATTTGTACGTCTGCACATTCCTACGCATATTAACCATGCGTGATGCCAATCTACTAACATATTAACCGACTGAGCCCCCGACATCTTTTTTCCCATTTTCGGCTACTCCTTGTCCTATTGCATCTCCACTTCATTTTCATGAATGTGTCGTGTGGCTGGTATACTACGCATTCTTTCACTGCCACGAGTCTTTAGCTTGGTGAGAGAGTTAGTGTAGCATGTATTTTGTTTGTTGTTCAGCATGCCATGGAGCAACAGCAACTCTCTCCCATGGACACTAATAATTCAGCAAGTAGCACTACTTTATCGGAGATCCCAGCAACGGTTTTGGATGAATCCAGCGGTCCTGGTGTGAGCGAAGCTTCCGAAGTAATATTATCAGATGTAGTGCACCGACGTACTTCATTGAGACCCAGACGAGCAGCTGTCGCCGAGGGGTCTTTTATAAGTGACAAGGAGTTGGACGTTTTGCTTGCGGAGCCGTCCCAGTCGACGCCCAGCATGGCGCAGGCCAATGATGCACCAGGAAGAGATGCCTCTGATGAGTTTGAGAAATGGGTGAGCAAAAATAATTCTTTTTGCAAGTTGGAACACGTTTACCACCCCCATGGCCCCTTTGGTCGAGGCGAGAGATCCTCAAGTAGAGTGTAGGAGTTCATCTGATTAACTTGTTCTGGGTGGTGTTACAGGTACTTTGTTTTATAGGTTGAGGTTGAACAAATTCTGAAGATACGAAGAACGGCGCCTTTCCATGGTAAGACATTATTGGTTCATTGCTTCGTAAATCGGTGAGCATTCAGTGCAATGTTTTAGACGTTGTCCCTCTTGTGATGTCTCTAGATCGTTCTACGCCAGAAACTTTGGGATGCAGGGCAGAACAGTATGCATATTTCGTGAAATTTCGCGATCAGTCTTATTGGCACTGCGACTGGATACCCGGGCAAACCATTCTTTTCATGCATCCGGGGATGGTAAAGAACTATCACAAGCGAAATCAGGAACTTGTCGATCTTGTCGACCAGGAGTACAGGGATCTGCAATCTGGGCACGAAACGTTGAATGTTTTGTCACCTAAATTGCCATCTTCTGATGACGATTCAACGGTAGATGACACGTCAGCCGCGGAATCGACTAACATCGCACCTATCATCGGCGGAAAATTGGCTATGAGGCTAGTTAATTTCTCAGTCTTGTGTGATTTTTGGTTACTTTACCATACGTCCTTATTTTCCCTTTTTATCTTCCTTTTCTGTTTCTCATAACTTGTTTATGTCCTTATCTCCACCTCGTTAACACCTTTTTGGCCTCAACCACCTCCATGTTTTATAAGGTTTTCCAATTTCTCGCCGATGCTTTTTTCACAAAATTCGACATTGACGATGTAATGGGTTGCAATTGATATTGGTTGCCCTAATAGTTTTCCGTCTTTTAGTTTGCTCGACACTCAGCCTAAACGAGGCCGCCGACGTTACAGATATTATTTGGAAAATGGTGTCCCTTTCTCATATCTGTACCCTGAAACTGTTCTGGAAATTGGCGATGTATTCCAGCCCACGACGCTTTCTCAATGCCGTCATCGAGGACGCAATAGGGCCAAGAAGTCAACTATTTATTCTGCTCATCTCCGCGAGGTTCTTGTAAAGTGGACTCAATTGGATGAGGGTCAGGCAACTTGGGAAACAGTGGAGATGGATTTGGCCCATTTGGAAGTAATGCTGCCCAAGTACCGTCGAGCTGGTTTTATCCCCCTTGATCCCTGTGGACGGCGTCTGCTTCCAACCTTCGTTCGTCGCTGGATTCTACAACTGGTAGACGCCCACCTTACACAAGTCGCCAGTCTTTATTCTTCACATCTTGGCGACGCGTCAGATAAACTATTAGAACTTGTTGCCGGAGGACGCGCGAAAACCCGTCAACGAAGTCCACCTCCTGAGTGGCAAGTAAGCCCCTCTTGAGCCCCCATGCTCTAGTAATCGTTTAATGTTTCTTTTTTTTCTAAATCAGTGTATTGGGCGCCTGCTCTTTCATACTTACCCTGTTTCGATAAAAAAAATTGTCATTTCGAAATCCCATTCAAACAGGCTGTTTGTTCTTAGTAGCATTTAAACACCTCGCCTCACAAGTGCGTTGGCATGACAACTCATGGTTAGAGTGTCATGCAACTTTTCTGTTTCCAGAATTTATGTGGCGCACAAGCACAGTGCGTTACGAACTAACAGTCTTCGAAGGACAGTGCTTCAAACCTTTTGTTCTATTAATCAGATAATGGCTGTAGCAGTAGTTCATGTGATTCCCCGTTGTGTCTCTTTTGAACAGCGGTCTTCAGTGCTGGATTTGACACACCCATTAAATATTCTTTCTGATACACCTGTTCGAAAAAGAACTAATCTGTTTTACTTTAGATCTCAAGTATTCCTTATGCGGGTTTTCTCTGACATTAGACCTCCTCGGATCTAACTTCAACTTTCCTCTGTGTAGTTCCTCTTCCCTAAGTCGACCACGTCTTGTGGCCGAACCCAGATTTCACTCCTTCATTAGGTCTAGCAGTCAGACAAATCGTACTTACTGGCTTAAAGTTCTCTTAAAATTCTTTTTTTTTGTTTAAATTTTTGATGTTAACACCGTGGTGTCAACAGGAGTCAGGTCCGTGTGCCGTTCCACGCACCTCGTGTTCCGCGTT